TATAACCTTGTCACACAGCTTTCCTGATTTTAAACCATTCATTATCCCTTTATTTTGTTCAAATAACTGCTTCTTGGTCTATGTATGGGGTTCTCATCAGAAAAATTAAGTGTTCTGGAATATACATCATTTGCAATGTTTTCCATAGTTTGTCATAATCCACATAGTAGAAGACTTTTGCATAGTCATTAAAGCACAAATAAATATTTCTGGTATTCTGTGCTTTCAGCCAAGATCCATCTAATGTCAGCAGTGATATCCCTAAAACTATATCCTCTTCAAAATCCAGCTTCAACTTCTGGCAGTTTCTTGTTGCTGAGCTGTTACAACCATTTTTTAATTATCTTCTGCTAATTTTTTTCTGTATTAATGACATTATTTGATGATTTCTACAATCTGTTGGGTAACCTCTTTTTAAATGAACACAAGCATGGATCTCTTCCAATCAGTCGGCCAGGTAGCACTCTTACAAATTTCCTGTCATAGATGAGCGAGTGCTTCCATTGGTGCAATAGTTTGTTGAAAGGTTTCAATTTGAATCCTATGAATTCCTGGTGCCTTGTTTTTTCATTAATGTCTTCAGTGCAGCTTGGACTTCTTCCATCAGTGCCACTGGCTCATGAATATATGGTATGTCTTGAAATGTTTGAACATGGACCATTTTTTTGTTGGTACAGTGACTCTTTGTGTTCCTTCCATCTTTTTCCTTTTTTTAAAAGCTTTTATTGTGCATTGAGCAATAGTTTACATGGGAGAATATCACTTTTGCACTCATCCTATCATATTTTGTTTCATTGCAATGATTACAATCCCCTGCATGCATCATCATTTAAGAGTATTTGCTTCTATTTCCTCTATTTTTTTTTAAATTTATGTACACAAAACACTCAGGAATATATAATCATTTATACAACCAAAAGCCACATTATGCAAGCCTGCTTTCTGGCCATCAGCACACAACCTTTTGCTTTTCATGAGTCTAGAGTTCTCAGCTGCTCTATCTCTCCATGCCATCATCTCTACCTCCATCTCTGGTGTCCCTGCTTCTCTGGTTAGGGTCCCAAATTGTGCTCATTCTCTTCCCTCTTGATGGTCTTAGGGTCCTCTGTTCCTGGGCTGTAAGATTAATTACTCCCCGCTTTATGTTACAAAACTTCCACCTTTACAATTGTGACAATTGCAATTAGTCATGATAATAATCACTCACTATTGAATTAAAAGAATCCTATCCCCATCTCCTCACCGGACCACCTACACAAGATGCAAGCTATTCAGTAAGGATTCTACCTTCCTCCCCACACTCTGAAACGAAACTCATTCTTGAGAATGTGTAAGCCAACCACTTTGTGCCTTTATAATCCACTTGCCCCCATTTTAGGTAGCCATTGTCTAAGTTGCTTGTCCCTATCAACCCTGTATACCAAGGAGATAGGCTTGATCCTTGATATAAAGACTCCTTCCCTTGTGGTTGGTATTTTGAGCTACTACTTCCGTAAATATAGGACAAATTCATTAAATTGTAGCAATTTACACTTGCTTCCTTTATCAATCAAGCCATCGAAGCTAGGTCAAATGGGTACTATCTACTGAACATTTCACTCTCAGCTCTAGCCCTCTGTGGCTAGGTCAATGTCCATGGACTCAGGAGTTCCCAAGTCTCCTTTTTTTTTTTCACCAATCAGCCCTTCTTCTTCTTTCTCTCATCTCGAGGTGAACAGGAGTCTATGGAATGTGATAGAATTCAGCCCACATTTTCATTAGTGACTTTCTCTGACTTCCACTCAAATGTAGACCAACATGGTCACCAGTGAGCTTACATGCCTGCTCATATGTTCCCTTTGAGTTCCAGTCTTGGAGGGGATTTGTCCTGAAGGGACTTGTTTGCTTGCCTTGATGGCTCCCCAGTGAACAGTTTGCTTGTACTTGTAGTAGCCAAACAGGCTGCCATTTTTGTTTTTGATTTTGTTTTTCCTACTAGTCTTTCTTTCAGGAAGTATCTTCTGTTCCTGTAGCTATTCTTGGCTGGTCTGCATGTACTTTAAAGTAGGCATGTCCTGCCTCAGAAGGTTCTGGATGGGGCTCAGGATTCCACCTAAGGTCCTATACACTTGTCCTATACACAAGAAGCCTGTTTCACTGGGCAAATTCTAGGACCTCCTTTATGTATTCCAATCAGTTATAGGCTGAAGACAGGCTTACAAACTTTCTGTAATCATGTTCCGTAATATTTTTTTTTTTCTGTCTCACTCAAGTATCTATTTTACAATAGTAGGCAAGGGAAACCAATATTTAAAAGACAGTCAAGCATCTTAACATTATTTCTCCTTTTTCACCCATTCAGACTGTGCTTTGATCCCTGTATCACAGAGCCCTGTTGTTGCAAGGTGGAACATACATCACTATTTACCTCTGTCACATCTAGCCCATCTAAACCTACCTAAATGTTCTCCTATTTACCTTGTTCATTTATCCCCCTTCCCCTTCTTATGTATTGTTATCCCCTTCCTTCTTGCGTATTGCCCTCCCCAACACCCAAACTATGATGTGTCTTTCCCTTAACCTGTGCTCTACTGTCCCCTCCCAACCCTGGTAACCAAACAACAACTGTTTTGTGTTTTGTTTTGTTTTTTCCTTGTAGTATGGGTATTCTTTCTTAGGGTTTTACAATAATGGTCTTATACAATATTTGTCCTTTTATGACTGGATCATTTCACTCAACAAAATGTCCTAAAGGTTCATCCATGTTATGTGGTGGTTAGCAGCTTCATTGCTGTTCTTCAAGGTAGCACAATTTCCATTGTGTGAATGTACCAAAGTTTTTTTTTATCCATTCTTCCATTGATGGGCATTTAGGCTGTCTCCATCTTTTTGCTATTGTGAATTGTACTGTGATAAACATTGGTGTGCATATATCTACTTGTGTTTGACTAGTATTTCTTGTGGCAAAATACCAAGTAGAGAAATTTCTGGATCATAAGGTATTTTTATTTCCAAGTTTCTGAGGAAGTGCAATTCCATTTTCTATGGTGGTTGAACCATTTTACATTCCCACCAGCAATGTAGAATGGTCCCAGTCTCTCCACATCGTCACCAGTCTTTATTGTCCTCTGCTTTTTTTGAACTTCACTGTTATTGCTGTTGTGAGATAATATCTCATTGCTGTTTGGCCTTTCATCTTCTTGTGATACTTTCTTTGTTTGATCCCATGTGTATATTTGCCTTTTATGCTGTTTATTAAGGGTATTTGCAATGACTAAATCATTGGTCTTTCAAAATTCTACCATGGGATCTCCAGCATCATGTCTATCTCCAAGTCCATATTTTCCAACAACAGAGCCTTCCTGTTTGTTTCCAAACTTTGTATTCCAATCACCAGAGATTGGAGTTAATACATTTCAATTCCATGTTTGATCAGTTTCAGACTGAAGAAGATAATAGAATTCTTCAGTTTCATCATCATTGGTTTAAGTGGTTGGTGGGTAAATTTGAATAACATTGGTGTAAACTGATCCTTCTTGTAGTCATATGGCTATTAGTCTATCACAGAAAACATTGTATTGTATTTCAATATAGATCTTGAAATGTTCTTTTCCATGATGAATATGACATAATTCCTCTTGAATTTGTTGTAAACCATAAGATTATCTGATTTGATATGGCCAATACCAGTTCATTTCATCTCACTAATGTTTAAAATAACAATCTTTATGTGTTCCATTTCCTTTTTTTTTTTTTTTTTTAATTTGTAAAGTTTTTATTGTGAATTGAGTTAAAGGTTACAGGGCAGATTATCAGTTTTACATTCCATAAATCATATTTTGCTTCATTGCAATGATTACAATGGCCTCCATGTACCATTAGTCAATAGTATTTACCCCTATTCCGCAACCCCCTGCCTTTTTTTAAAAAGGTTTTTATTGTGGATTGAGTGATAGTTTATAGGGCAGATCATCAGTTTTACATTCAACAAATCATACACCTTGTTTCATTACAATGATTATAATATCCTCCATGTACCATCAGTTAACAGTATTTCTCACTATTCACTTTAGCTCTTTTATAGAAAAAACAAAACACTCAGGTATATATAATAATTTACACCTCCAAAGGCACATTTTGCAAGTCTGCCTCCTGGCCACCAGTTCGTAGTCCCTATCTTCCCATGAATCTAGATTCTTTACCCACTCCCCCTCTCTATGTCCCATCCTGCTCATTGGAAATGCTGTACAGAGTAACTGTGAGTTAGTTGATGGCACTTACCAACAAAACTAGAAAACAACAGCAGATATTTGTGTCAAGCTGGCTGGGCCTGGATTCTTAGTGGTTTGGCAATCAAGTTGGTTCTGACTCATAGTGACCCTGTGTAGAGTGTAGTGTTGTTTTATATTAGGTCTCATCATCTACCTAATTTATAAAATACTTACTACTGAGCTTTGCAGTGGGATTGAAATGAGAAATGTGGAAGTTCCTGGAGTCTGGATGGTGCTCTGCAGGCATTCTCCATGCCCTGTGCTAAAGTGACCATCATCTGGTCAGTAGTGAGTGTTCAGTACTTTGTTCACTACATTGTTGAGTAGTGAATGACTTTTCCTGTTATTAAAGCAAAGTTAATGGCTTTATCACAGTGTTCTATCTCTTTATTGAACTATGCAGTCCTTTGGCTCACAGGATCCTGTGTAGTTGCAACAATTCCCCCTGGCTTTCCATCTCTGTCCAGTGATGTCTGAGGTGGCAATAAACAATGATTCCAGGCACATCAAGTGGAATGAAGACATCCTAAAACATAGTGGGGTGAGGATGGAAGATAGGAGGATAGAAATAGTTTCTGTTAGAAAAGCCTCTTTCAGGATTTGTAGTCCTTGTAGAGCAAAGAAAACACCCCAGGAACATAAACTACCTCCAAGGGAGTAACCTAGAAGAACTAGAAAAAGATATTGAAGATCTATTTCTGCATAAAGTTCTGCCATAGACAATAGCATCACAGCCAACTTTTGGCTAAATTAAGCATGACCACTGCCTAGCTTCCCTTTTCCATCCTTGTTGTGTATTCCATACATCACTTGTTGATGAGGCTTCATATTTTCACAGGTTCTAACGTTTGGTGCCTAGGGGAATGAGAATGTGAGGATATTAATTTTACTTACATCTCCTGAATTTGGGGCTCCTGGTGTAGGACAAGCACTGGTGCAAACCACCAGCTTGGCAGTTCAAAGCCACCAGATGCTCCTTTGAATCCTAGATATACAGGGTCAGAATCGACTCAACAGCACTTAAATTTGAGGAAGTCCTCTCATTTTTTTCTGTTAAAATTATAGTTACACTAACACATACTAGTGGTTATAAGCATGTCTTTTGGTATTAGAGTTGCTGTTATAGTTAGGTGGCCTTGGTCAGCTGTGATTTATAATGACGTTATGCACGACAGAATGAAATTCTGCCTGATCCTGTGCCATCCTCACACTTGTTTTGTTTGAGCCCATTGTTGCAACCATTATGCTAAGCCATCTCATTGTGGTCTTCCTCTTTTTTGCTGAAGCTCTATTTGTTAGAGGTGAGATTCTGATTATTCTACTTTATTTTGCTATATCTCATTTCACAAATGAAACACTTTTTTTGCCTCCTTTTTTTTTTTAAAGTGTCAAAAGGAGCACACTAATATTTGTTGGAGTCCTGGTGTGGCACTGTGAGTTAAAGCCCTGAACTGCAAGATGGGTTTGAACTGCAAGCTTGGTGGTTCACGCTCACCAGCTGCTCCTTTGGTCACTATGAGTCGGAACCCACTTAATGGCACTTAACAAATATATTTGTCAGAGTTGTTTTGAGGCTGAATTAAATCATCCAGCTGGAGTACTAGAACCACTGATAATGTCCACTCAGTAAATGACATGTTGCTTTCACTGTTGGAGCAAATTTCTGGTATCGTTGAGCAAGACACACTGACTTTTGAATTCACTTATCTGTGATACTCTAAAAAAGCATTGATACAATAATTCTCCAATGAGTATCCTGTGATCTTAAAGACCCACGTTTCTATAAATTTTGTCCCTGGAAAACTCCTGAAGGTTAAAGAAGTAACAGGAATCTTCTGTTCTTAGCAATCAATATCCATTACATACAGCTCACAATCATAGCTTTTCCTAAAGAAAGATGTAAATGGATTCTATCATGCCCAGGAGACAGCCATTTGCCTACATAACAGTGCCAGAGCTTCCTAAAAGCCTGACCTTCAGTCAGATAGTAATCAGGAAGCTTCTAATAACCTCAGGAATCTAATTTATGTTTTTCACTCCTTGGTGATGATTATTAGAGGGACATCAATTGTCATCAACAGTGTACCACAAAGTTATTTCAGTCACATGGACCTCTGACATGTCCTGAACTTTAGTAACCATTATATATCTCCAGGGAAAAGGAGAGGATTTCAGGTTTCCATAGAAGCAGTGGGCCAGGTCTTCAAAAGAATAAATAGATAAATAGGGTAAAATTAAAACAAACATATCAAACAATAAAAATTAGACACTTGCAGTAGTTTTTAGGAAAGCGAGGTATTTCAGTCTATTGACACATAAACTCCAAGAAGATGTGTCTCTGGAACTCAGAATAAAGATGATTTATCTTTCCAACTTCATATCTCTAGTCAAAGCTTCCATGCTATCAGCCCAGATCCCCTTTTGTTTAAGGGAATGTATAGTCCCTCTTCCTAGGCTGTAAATCCCCATGGAAGCAGGTTGCTTCATCTTTTCCTCATGGAATACCTATGTGTTTGAACTGCTTACCTTTTGGTTAGCAGCCCAATGATTAGTCTAGTGTGCCACCAAGGTTCCTTTAGGAAGCAGTTCTACTCCGTCCTATAGGATCACTATGAGTGAAAATGGACTTTAGACTGGGGGGTTGGTTTTATTGATTTTATGGGCTCTGTTTGTCTCAACCACAAATAGTGGCATTGAAGGAAGCGTTTTCTGAGAAAATCCACTCAGATTTCTATCTTCATTAAGAAGAGACTGACTCTAACATATTTCTTAATACATTTGTTTCAAGTCATGACTTTAAAGACCTAGTGTTATCTAGAAAAGCGATAGAATCTATTAAGCAGGTTTTTCAGCTGAGATTTAGTTTACTACGTGGCCACCTACTGGTCATTCTATGACACTGGTCATTCTATGAACTTAACTGATGAACGAATTCAGAATTCATAGATGGAAACCCTATACAGGGTTGTGATGAGTCAAAACAGACTTGATGGCACTTAACAATATTACACTTTTGGAGTCCTGGTGTGGTGCTGTAGGATAAGCTCTTGAACACAAGGTTGGTTTGAATCACAAGGTTAGCTGTTCAAACTCACCAGCGGCTCCTTGAAAACTCTATACAGGTTCACCGACTCGGATGGTATTTAATAACAACAGTTACATATTTGGACTCCTGGTGTGGCACTTTAGGATCGACACTGAACTGCAAACCACAAGGTCAGCCTTTCAAACCCACCAGCTACTCCTCGGAAACACTATACAGCGCTATTAATCGGAACCAATTCAACGGCACTTAGCAACAACAACTACACACTTGGAGTCCCAATGTGGCGCTGTAGGATAAGCACTGGGGAGTAAGATTGGTTTGAACCGAAAGTTCAGCGGTTCAAATCTACCAGATGTTGCTCAGAAACACTATATAGGGTCACTTTGAGTCAGAACCGACTCCACAGCACTTAACAACATTACATACTTGTACACTAAATAGAAAATTATTACCTTTCTATAGAATACAAATTCCTGATTATAGCACATACAATGTCAATTTTTAAATTCCATAGTCATTTGGCAGGATAAGTCCCTTCAGAAAAAGTGTGTCTATAGGGACATCAGGAGACTTGAATGCTTGATAGATAAGTGAATAAGAGTTGGCTTTTGTTTTGTTTGAGATCACCATCACTGCATTCTTAGCAATAGTGACATACGTATACACTTGAGTTTGCTTGGAACAATAGGATTTAGATGACATATTATGACAAATATAGATCTGATTTATTTTTTGAAGTGGTTTTAAAAGTTATTTGCCTGAACTCAATCTTTGTACATCTAATTCCCTGTGGCCTCAGATGCCTTTTCTCAAGTTGTAATACTTACTTATATAATGTATCCTATTTTTCCGTGGGTTGCTTTTGGGTCTGCATCACTTAGTGGTCAGTCAGTAATTTATGCAAAGGTTTTGCACAAATTCCATTAGCCTATGAAGCTTCAGACTTCTGCTAGAAGTCTGAACCCACAGACTTCTATGTGGGTTTAGGTTAGTACTCAAAGTATAGCCAGTTTTCGATTTTCTCTTGGATTTTGCTTTCTGCTTCACATTGTTAGGTGTCTACACCTATATGCATGTACTCTACAGCTGGCCATTATGTAGAGAGCTTATTAAAATCTCCCATGATTCTCATTTCCAGATTTCCTCTATTCGATTTCAACCATGTTCATGCCTCATCTTATCTGTAATCACAATCTTAGGGTAGCAGAGTTGAACCCCTCATTTGTTTCCTCTAGATGTTACCACTGTGATTGGGTACCTTTTCTTCCAAATAAATCCCATTGCTTGTTAAGGAAAATATATAAATGTAAACTAAAAGGTCTTGGGAGGGAGAGTGAATGCGATGGACTGAAAACCTAAGATTCATTAGCTTCCTAATAGATCTATTCTGTCCAGGGCAGAGGGGAGGTGACCCAGCTGCAGAGGATAGCCCTGTCAGTATCAAGGGCTTCAAATGGATTAATTCTGTTTCAACCCCCTGTTGAGAATTTGTATTTGTCCACCCTCCATCTCCCATCCCCCACTCACATACCCATCATCAATTTGATTCCAACTCAGAGACCTTATATGGGGTTTTCAAGGCTATAAATCTTTAACAAAGCAGAAAGCCTCACCTTTCCCCCAATGGTGGCTAGTGGGTCTGAACTGTCAACCTGTTCTATATTGCCACCAGTGCTTCTATTTGCACCCCAGATGAACTAGATCAGAGTCTACATTTTAACAAGATAATAGATGATGTATACATAAGAATCACCTGGGACTCTTGTTAAAATGCAGATTCTCATGCATTGTATCTGGGGTGGAAATGCACATTTTCAACAGTGTGTGAAACCAGAATGAACCAGTTTTTAAGTCCTGCCAGTATGCAAAAACACAGCATCCAAAGGATGTAACAAGCTCAGCCATAAATTAGGTAAGTACCAGAATGAGGAAGGATTCTAAATTCATGTATGGGATAGGACAGCAAGTTCATAGAGACTGAGGTGGAAGGCAGAAATACTTACAGTGTAGCTCTAGTAGGTCTGTCCATTCAAAACAAGGTTCTTGTCAGTTCAAGTGAATGAATGCAAACCTTTCCCGAGGCAACAATAACCAGAAAGTATCAGGACTATAGCTAAGTAAATTGGCGTTGGAGGCAGGGCTTTAGTTCTAGAGACTGAGGCTTTAAATGATTGGAGTGAGATATTATATTTTGGAGCCAGAAATGCTTGGGTAATATCTAAGACCCAACTCTGAAAAGTGGATTATGGAGTTTGGACACTTAATTTTAACTCCCCACACCCTCCATTATAAAAAGGGGCTAAGAGTCTTGATGTATATTCCTATAAAATCATAATTGATTGAATAACCAGGGGGGCAGAACTGGGCTTACAAGCGTAAACTAGTAAAGGTGAAGTAAAGATGTAACAATTGCTTGGTAATCTGTAGAGAGTATCAGAAGGAGAGGGTCCCAAAGAAATAGATAGTAGCAACATTCAAAATGACTTTAGGTGAAATATTTAAGGACTAAACAAGGAAGTGGTTGGTGGTTGTGTGCCACCAAGTCTGTTCTAACTCAGCGAATCTGTATAAGGTTTCGGAGACTGCAATTATCTTTCACCTGCAGAACAACTGGTAGATTTGAATTACTGACCTTGCAGTGAGCCTCATAATCTACTATGCTATCAGGCATCCTTAAACATGAAGTGCACCCTCCACCCTCCCCACCCCGTGTCCCTCCCCTGCTCCCTCAATTGCCATTGAGTTGATGCTGACTCACTGTGACCTGTATGTCGGAGTAGAACTATGCTCCATAGGATTTTTAATGACT